AGGGAGTCTGCGGAGGGATGTGTGTGTGCTTGTAAACAGAAAGCTCCAGAACAACTAATGCAGGGGGTTTCCAATACTCCAAACCTCACATGGCTTTGCTTGGACAGTTTTCCTCCACTGAGATAAAAACAAGTGCACCCATTCATTCATTCATTGCACCATATTCACAATAGCCAAGACACAAAAGCAACCTAAGTGTCCATCGATGGATGAGTGGATAAAGAAGATGTAGTGTGTGTGTGTGTGTATACACACCATATATAGACACACACAATGGAAAGTTATGCAGCCATAAAAAAGAAGGAAATTCTGCCATTTGCAACAACATAGATGGACCTTGAGGGCATTATGCTGAGTGAAATAAGTCAGACAGAGAAAGACAAATACTATATGACCTCACTTATGCGTTGAATTTTTAAAAAAAACCCCAAAACAAAAACTGAACTCAGAGATATAGAGAACAGACAGGCAGTTGCCAGAGGCAGGGGGTGGGGAGAGGCCAAATGGGTGAAGGGGCTCAAAAGGTACAAACTTCCAGTTACAAAATCAGTAAGTCCTGGGGATGTAACGTACAGCGTGGCGACTATAGTTGATAGCACCGTATTGCATATTTGAAAGTTGCTAAGAGAGCAGATCTTAAAAGTTCTCATCACAAGAGAAAAAAAGAACAAGAGCTTCAGGAGCTAGGCAACCTCCTCTCAGCTGGAGCAGCTTGGGCTGCACATGTGTGAGTGTGCATGTGCACCCGTGCACAAGCGTGCGTGTGGGGGGGGGCAGCAGGCAGAGAGTGCATGCTTGGCTGGCTTGGAGGGAGCGGGTCTGGAGGCCAGTGCTTCCTTCACCAGTGCTTGCTCTCCTGGGCACAAGGCCTGGGCAGTGCCAGCTCGTTTTCACAGCCATTTTCCCAGGGAATTAACAGGGGGAACATTCGCCTCTGTAATAATGATAGAAATAATAATAATTAACACGGCTGTAGCTTCTATTTCTCTAGCGCCTCTCTCCCCAGACCTAATAACTCTGGGCCAACAGCAAGTCTGCTGGGCTTCATAGACACACCCCAGGGCCTGGGAAGCCTCAGGTTTTGCCAGATTTTCTGTCTCCTCCAGCTGGGAGGCAAGTGCAGGTGCACACAGGACTGACCTGTCGCAGGAGCTGCCCTTCAAGAGCCACTGGCAGAGCTGGGAAAGGACCCCAGGCACTACGCCTCCCACCTCCCCACTCCATCACCCCCCAGGAGGAGAGTAGGTAAAGGAGGGAGCAAGTGTCAGTTGTCTTTGTGCAGTCCCCAGAAACCCCCCAAACGTCTGGGCTCCCCCATGCAGCCGGCACTGCCTCAGGGAGGACCGCCCCTGGCTGCTACAGCCAGCGGGACATGTCCGCAGGTCTGGTCCCTACAGAGGATGGCTCATGGCCTTCTCTGGTCCCACCCAGGAGTCATTACGCACCAAACGTCTAGTTTAAATAAGTGATTAGGCAGCTCTGTTAGGAGCGCAAGTGCTTCCCACCGGGCAGGGACAGCGCGGGCGAGAGGCGGCCGAGGCAGGAAGGGAGGAGGACCTCAGGGCCTTGCAGCAACGGGCTCCTCTCCTCCAAAGCATTTTCCAGTCAATTCAGCGCAAGGTGGAGCTCCCGGCGTTCCCAGAGCCAGCATCCCGAGCAGCTTGGCACCTGGAAATTTTCAGACACAGAGCCCACTCCTGATTGTTGGGGCAGCCCACCCACGTCCTGACAGACAAGGGGGCGGCAGGGACCTGGAGCAATTTACACAGACGGAGAAGCCAAAGCTCTCATTGGCCAGTGCCTTCAGCCTCCCCCCACACTCCTGAAAGGAAATTACTGGATCCGAGTTACTTCCTTCGCTTCTTCCAGGAGCGGCAGGATGAGGAGGGGTCAGAAGGAGCCACGGTTGGGAGCTGTGTGACCATAAATGTACTCCCCCGGCATCTCCAGGGAGAAAGCCTAATCTCTCGAGTCCACAGATGGACCGAAGTCTGGAAATGCCAGCGTTGTGCAAACACGTGTGTGTGAGTGTGCGTGCAGAGTGCAGTGTTTTGGAGAGAAGGGCCACAGTTTGTGGCAGATTCTCAGTGGGGTCCACGACCCACAAGATGGGGAGAAGCCTGCGCTCTGCTCCGGTCAGTTCTGAGGACGGCCGGCCCCGCTCCACAAAGGCGACTCCATCTTCCAGGGCCCAGTGGGCATCCTGAGGCCTGGACTCCACCTGCTCAAAGGGCAGCCTCGGATGAGTTTGGGGAAACAGCTGAAGCAGAACCATCACAGGCCCTGCCAGGCGGAGCCGCGGCCGCCGCCCATCCAGACGCAGCAATGAGGTGCTCCCTCACTGCCTCATTCTTCCCACTGTGACGGCTGCACATCTCCTGTTCCCGTCACTCCAGTGACAGCCTTCTAAGGATGAAGGCAGCATCAATGTCATACAAATTCCTCCAGAACCCCAGGGGCTAGAAGGAGCTCAGGTTCAGGAAGCTAGGAACCAAATGCCCTGCACAGCAGAGTGGAAAGAAGAAAGCCTTCAGAATATGAAAGACTTGAGTTCAAGAGGCTTGTGCCTCTTACTAGCTGTGTGACCTTGACCAAATTACTTAACCTCTCTGAATGTCAGTTTCTATATCCATGAGATGGGAATAATACCTCACAGAGTTATCTTGAGGATTAAATGAGGTAATTCTGGCACACAGCAGGAGCTCAGGAATGAGTTCTCTTTCCCAGGAGGCATGGGGCACGTGTGCCCCTCTAGGCACGCGCTGTACCACTGCGGTATCACAGAAAAGGGGGCACCGGGGCTCGGCTGCTCGGGAAGAGGGAATGGCAGTCAGAGCCATTTCCCTATGTTGACCACAACCTGCCAGGCCCCCACGGCTGCCCGGACCTCCTGTCCTCCAGGAAGCGTCCCTCACGGCGCTCCCTCCCGACGCCCCACAACTGCCACTGGGCTTTCCGGCCGCATCACGCAGCCTCCACTGCATCTCTCCCCTGTGATGAGAGGTCACGGGCTCCCCTCCATCAAAGGGCAGGCCCCTGGTGGCTGTGCAGCCCCCCAGTCCCAGCCCTGCCCCCCTCCAGGTGCACCTCCCCCCCCCCCCCCCAGAGCATAGAGGACCCAGCTGTTCTCCCCGTGCTTTCAGGTCTTTGAACCTTTTCTGGAATGTCCTCCCATTCTCTGCTCAGGGAGCTCTTAATTACCCTCTAAGTGCCAGCTCAACTGTCATCTCCTTGGTGACAGCTGCCCCCTCCTCTTTCTCCCACAGCACCTGCCATGCTTTAGAGGAGCCACGAGTGGCCTCCACCTCTCTCCCCAGCAGGGGCCAGGCCTGCTCTGGCCAGCTCCCCTCACCCTGCCCCGGGGCTGGCCCGAGGTCAGGCTCAACGAATGTGGGCTGGGGAAGAGAGAAACGGTGTGGTGGACCCCGGCTAGCAGCAGGGCCCCTTGACAGAAGGCTTCCTGTAAAGGTGGCAGTCCCCTCAAGGGTGGCGAGCCTGGGTCCCGCTGGAGGAGGCTTAGCTTGCGTCTGGACTAGAAGGGGGGGCTGGGTGACAGTGAGAGGGCTGTGGGCTCCTCCCATCTGCATCTCACGCTGGTCTACTCCCGTCTCCCCGGAACCTTCTCCCCCTGCACCTGCACAGGGGGAGGGACAGGAAGGAGGGGACAAGGAAGGGAGTTCACCGCCGGGCACCCTGGCAGGGTTAGGGCTAGCTCTGCGAGATGGGCATCCTGACTCACTTCACAGACGAGGGCACCGAGGCTCCGAGGCGACGGCCTTGCCCAGCGCCAGGCAGACGCGGCACAGAGGTAGGTGGGTCCGGCTCTAGAGCAAGAGTCCTTTTCTTGACAAGATGCTGCCTTCTCCAGAAATCCTAACACAGCCCCCGAGGAAACAGGGATGGGAAAGACACACACAGTGTGTGCCTGCGTGTGTGCTGTTTCTCCTCCACCGGTGAGAAGACAAAGGGGATGAATCAGTTGCCACGTGCCACCCGACAGACGCTCCCCAGCATGTCTGGATGTGGGTCCGCTGGTCCACACGGGGTTTAGGTTACAACCAACCCTCTCTGGTGCCACCATCCCCCACGGCAAGGGAGGGCTAGTTTAGCACAGCGCCTTCTCCCTCTGACTCAGAGCACGCCACCAGGCTTCTATCCCACCATGTTTGGTTACCTGCACTACTTGGCCACAGCCTCAACCCCCAAAACGGTGGGGAGGAAACGCGGGGAGGGGAGGAGCAGCCCCCCACGGTGAGCAAAGAGGGGACTCCCAACACTGGTGAAGTGGGGGAAGGCGGCTCGGCCTGAACCAGCCCATCTCATCACAGACTTGAGCGCCTTTACTTTTGATCAGAAATGTTGACCTGAAAAAACTTGGGACTTATTTCTATGCTTTTTCGGGTGTTTTTGGGGGCACGTTATTGTTTTCCTTTAGTTTTTAGTGAACGTTCCTTTCTAAAAAATCTACTCTGGTTTCCTTTGAAGCTGAGAGAAAACAGGGATGGCAGGCCCGCGGGGTAGTGGGCAGCTTGGAGCAGCACAGCCTCTCAGGGAGGGCAGCTCTCCTCATCTCAGAGTCTAGGGCACTGGGGGGCAGGTGGGGAACACCAGCAGTGACGCCCAGGAAGGAAGAGCGGCTGTGGGGACGGCTGGGGCCCCTCCTGCGCGGGGGCTGTCTCAGGACCCGGTGAGACTCATGGGCAGCCCCAAGCACTTCCATTCAGAGCCGGCAGGCAGCAGCAGCCTCTATGGCTTCCTTGGGGGGCCAGGGAGCAGGGGAGGCGCCGCCGATCATGGCCTGCAGTGACTGGAAGATTCTGACTCCAGGTAGGCAAGCAGCAAGCAGGCAAAAAGAGGCTGGAAATTAGGGGAGAGGAGGCCTGAGGAGCCTGGTGTGGCAGGGTTAACAGTTTCTTTCCTTCCAGAGAGACTTCACGCCATGTTGAATAAATAAAATGCTACCCAATTGCAAAAGACACTGTCCACAGTGTACTAGATACCATGTGCTGTCACCATCTGTCAGCCGCTGTCGGGGGACGGATGACTTCTCAAAAGCCACTCTGACGTTTCCAAATGAGATGTTTTGATAGAAGTGCCATTCAACAGGGCCCGGAGAGCCAGATGGAGCCTGAATGTGAAGGAGGGACATTTGCCACCTTTGTCTCACCTGTTTAAAGGGTTCTTGTCTGACAACAAGGCCTTCTCCAGGAGCGAGCTGAGGAGGGTGGGGGGCTTACTGGTTGGCCGGCAGGCGAGGCCAGAGAAGAGCAGGCTGCTCCCTGAGGACAGCAGGATGCCAGGGCAGCAGCGGGCGGCGGCAGGGTGCCGATTTCCACGCAGGCAGGCGCTCCAGGCCTCAGCAGAGTGCAGCAGCAGTCCACTCTGCGCTGTCCACCGTGTGGCCTTCGAGCATCTGGAGTGTGGCCGGTCCAAACCGAGACGTGCTACACATGCAGGTGCACACCAGCTCGTGAAGATTTCATACGGAAAAGAATGCAAGATATCTCACTAATAAACTCGTTATGCTGATTGCATTTTGAAATGCTAATATTTTGGATATACTGGATTAAATGTGTTATTAATTTCACCTGTTTCCTTTTACGTTTTTAAGGTGGCTACTCGAATATTAACATCACATACGTGGCTTGCATTATATTCCTATGGAACAGCGCTAGCACAGACTGGATGAGAAAGACAGAGGCTCAAATCCTGCCTCCACCACTCACTCAAGGCCTCTTCACCTCTCCAAGTCTCAATTTCCTCATCTTATCAAACATGAAAATATAGTGTGTCCTCGTGAGGTCGCTGTGAGGATTAAATACGGAAAACACCGGCATGATACCAGCTACCTGGACCATCTATAAACCCCGCTCCCGGGCACAGGTCTGAATGCTCTCCCAGCCTCATCACTAGTTAGCTGCACACTTAGCTTCTGTACCGGCTGTCTGTGGGAAACTGGGAAACTGTTACCCCTTTGTAGACCTCAGTTTCGTTGGCTATAAAATGAAGAGGTTGGGGCAGATGATTTCCCAAAGCTCGATGACCGTTAATCGGAATTACCTAACCTTTGTGGGTGTCAGTTTCCTCACCGGAGTCATGGTGAGGGCAGTAGCAGCAGTGGCCCAAAGGCAGGGGTGCAACACGGTGCTCTGACCTGCCAGGGGACACCACGCACTGAGTGAGCCCAGGGCAGCAACTCCAAGGGCTCTGATCCAAAGTGTGTCTAAAAAGGTGGGGAAAGCCTTAAAACCCTGAGCCAGGAACATCACAGCACTGCCCAATCCCTGGGGAAGTAAATCTCCTTCCTCCGGAGCTGTCCCTGCTCCCAGCTGCTCCCCCCAACCAGACTGCTCCTCTCCAGAGGCCCCCACCTCGCCAAGCCAGTGCTGGGTGGGGATAGAGATCAGGATCCCTAGGGGGACCAGGGCAGAGAGGGTGCTGATAGCAACCTGAAGCCCAGTCCTCCAGGCTTCTGACTGAGTCTGCGGATGGGGGGCTGAGTTTCCCTGTCTGACCTTGAACTCCAAGGTCTGGAAGAGCTGGAGACAAGAGCTCTTCATGGTAGATGCAGATCAAGCGACGTTTCACACAGAGGGGTCCCTGGTCCCCTGAAGCCAGAATCAGGTTCAGAACAGCCAGCAGAGCGCTTGTTGATCCTGCAGAGTCCTAGAATCTGCCTTGGACTTCTGGAATCGGATTCTCTGGAGCTGAGACGCAGGGACCTGCAAGTTCACACACTCCGGAGGTGGCCTCTGAGAACCGCTGACGGAGATCCCAGGCGAGGACCGCTCTGGTGACTGCTGAGGCTGACGAGAACCCGGGCCCTGGCATCGCTCCCCGACACCCACTTCACCACCCAGCAGCTTTCACTTCTGTCGACCCCATCATCAAGTGGGTAGGGGAGGTTCGAACCGACGGTGAAGGACGAGGATGGACCATGAGGGGGAAGGGAGAGCGGAGTGTTATCGCACCTCTTCTCATGTCCGAGCAGCTCCACGTGCAGGAGACAGTCCCAGCCACCTGGAGGAAACAGGTCACGCTGCGCAGCAGGTAAGAATGTCCGGTGACGAGGAGCAGGCCACGCTGGAGGGGCTGGTTTCTCTCCTCCAGTGACGAGACAGGCATGTGATGAGGCGCTGTAAGCTCCTCCCAGGGGAACAGGTGCTGAGGCTGTGGACACAACCACCCAACACCTTCCCTGGGGTCAGGCCAAGGAGGGGATGGGAGGGAGATGTAGCAGCTGGGGGAGGCAGACACGGGGTGGGGGCAGCGCAGGGAGAGGAGGCAGGTGGCCCAGCTAAAGACACCAAAGGCAAGATAGCAATGGGGAAACGATACAGGGCTGGAACGGGTCGGGTCATGGGTTGGCTGGGAGGCAGACGATGGGGAAAATACAGAGAACGCGGGAGAGGAGCAGCCAGTTGTGCCTTCCCTCAGGAAGCAATGGAAGAGGGACCTGAGCAGGACACGGCTGGAACTGGGGCCACTCACAGGCTGCCCTCACTGCTGGAGAACTCTCAACTGCGGGATCTCGCAGCTGGAAGCCTGAGAGCTGACCCAATCCAGTGGCGCAGGAATCTGAGGCTTGGAGAGGCGACCTCCCTTCCTCTCCCGATGCCCAGTTCCATGCGCTTCCCACCTCCCCACCTGCCTCAGGTTAGCGCTTCCTCTGAACTGAAGGATGGCACCTGAGAAGCAGGCGTGACGACAGGGCAAACAGTGGCTCCCTCTCGTGCGGCGGGGCAAGTCTTACTCAGGGGGTCAGGTGGGCACCCCGTGCTCGTCCGCTGATTTGCAGACACCTTCACCTGCACGGCCTCATTACCAGGCAGGTGGTCACCACCTTCCCCAGTTTACCGATGAGGAAGAGGCGGCGCAGAGACTTCAGGGCCCCCGGTGGAAGAGGCAGGCCCCGACCCCGGCTGCTCGGGACCACACCAGGGCCCTTCCACCAGCCACGCTGCCTCCACTACGCATGGAGCGGGGATGAGGCTCTGTCAGTCACAATTCAAGGGTGGAGGCAGCACAGCCAAGGCCCTGGCTTCAGGACAGAGGAGGCAGGTGAGGGGTCTGTGGAACGCCACAGACGGGGTCAAGGGCAAAGCCAGGACAAGAACTCGGGGTCCTGATTCCAAACCAACTCCTCAAGCAGCAGTGACTCAAAGCCGTGCACGAACTCGGGGTCACTTTGCAACCAGAGGCAGGAGCCCAGGGCCAGGGTTCATTCCTTCACCCGCCACAGCTCAGGGTTTAGCGTCAGTTCTCACTGAAGAGCGACCTCTCAGGAGTTGGGGACCCAGGCTGAACAGCCCCACTCAGAAGCCACCAGGCTGTGAGGGCCTCGAGGGCAGTGAGGGTCTCATCTGTGTCCCAGCACACAGCTACAGGGAGGCATAATGCACGATGCGGGAAGGAACCAATCACTGGACCTGGCCGGGAGTGAGGCAGCATCTGGGAGCAGTGTGGACGAATCAATCCGCCCTAACCAGGAGTGAGGCGGCGTTGGGGAGCGGCGTGGTAGAAGGCGGTGGAGGGGGCTCCGGGCTGCTTCCTCCTTCCTTCCTGCAGCTGTGAGTGTCCCAGGCACTGTGCTGGGTGCACGCCACAGGCAAGAGAGGAGAGAAACGTCCAAGAAGAGGGGAGACAGCCAAGTGGCAGCCCGACGGGCCACGTGTTCTGCTGAGTCCAGGTCCCAGCGTGACCCTGAGCAAGTTCCTTCCCTCTTGAAGCCCTGGTTTGTTTAGCAGGAGTGGGGTAGACTAAATGGTGCAAGGCCACTTCCCACACCCACCCGTGACTGGCAGATGGACCCTGGAGCCCCTCCCAGCTGCACAGAATCACAGCCCCACACGGAGAGCAGTGAGGCAGGTGGGGGCAGCGAGGCCAGGCAGAGGCACCCCAGCCCCAGGGAGGCAGGCAGACCTCCCGGAAGCTGCGTTCCCAGAGACTGCGGGGCCGGAGGTAACGGGCTGTGACAGAGGAGCGAGCCAGTAGTCCATTTCATTCAATAAAACTTCGATTGCCTGGGAGCCTTGTAAACAGGCAGCTCCCGTGTGGGCCTGAGGCGCTTTTCCCTCCCTCCTGGTGGCACCTGCCTGGCCCAGCCCTGTGCCAGCCCCAAAATGTCCCCCTTCGTCCTCCCGCCCGCCCGCCTGCCTCCGGTACAAGGTGGGCAGCCGAGGGTTAAGTGCCTGCTGGCAGGTGAGGGCCCAGGGCCACAGGGTAGTGGGAGGGGGAGGGAGCCGGAATCACTTAGCGCTCATTAGTCCAAATTAAAATCAGGAGTGAGATGACAATTACAATTTGCAGTGGGCTAATTGTTTTCCCTCAGAAGCTGATGGTTTTGCAGATTGGGGAAATTAATTGTGTGAAGTCCCAGGTGGACTGGCTTTGAATCCAGCTGAGGCAAGGCAGTCCCGGCCTCCTGGACTGGTCCTCCACCTCTTCACCTTCCCTCGGGGACCCAGCCTCAGGCTCCTGCCCTCTGGGAGCCTCAGGCGGGGAGGGACCGTGGGTCAGGGGTCCTGGCGGGAGGAGGGAGAACACTGGCGGCCTGTCAGCCGGTGGCGCCGCGCTCGGCCTTGCAGCCCTGCTGCCAGGAGTGGGCTCTTCCTTCAGAGGTTTCCCCTGCCTGACCACCCGCCATCTGCCCAGCTGAGGAGTGGGCTCCGGGAGGCATCTCTGAACTTGCCAGAAGTTCCCATTTCTACTGAGCACTCAAGTCCCTGCAGCATTCATTCAACAAACACCAACGGCCTACTGTGTGCAAGCACTGTCTAAGGAGGGCTAGGGACACTGCAGTGAGCAACACACACACCACCCCTTCTCTCATGGAGCTGGGGGTGGGGGCAGTAGAAGGAGAATAAACATGAAAGCAGATAAGATCAGAGCGACAGGGCTCTGAAGAACATGGTAAGCAGTGTGGCTTCCAGAGATGTTCACAGCCTGACCCCTGAACCTGCTGAATCTGCTACCTTACGTGGCAAAAGCGATGGGCGTAATTAAGATTATGCACTTTAGGGCTGGGAGGGTGTCCTGGATTACCTGGGTGGGACAAATCTAATCACAAGTCCTTAAAAACACAGAGCTTTGGGGCTGGCCCCGTGGCCGAGTAGTTAAGTCTGTGCGCTCCGCTGCAGGCGGCCCAGTGTTTCGTTGGTTCGAATCCTGGGCACGGACATGGCACTGCTCATCAAACCACGCTGAGGCAGCGTCCCACATGCTACAACTAGAAGGACCCACAACGAAGAATATACAACTATGTACTGGGGGGCTTTGGGGAGAAAAAGAAAAAAAATAAAATCTTAAAAAAAAAAAAAGAAAATGATGTGTTAAAAAAATTAAAAAAAAAAAACAGAGAGCTTTGTCCAGCTGGAAGCAGAAGAGCGCTTCCAAGCGTGCAGGTTCCCTGTCCTGTCGCTGGTTCTGAGATGTAGGGGCCGTGCACAAGGCCTGAAGAGGGGCCTCTAGGAGCGGCCAGCCAGCAAGGAAACGGGAACCTCAGTCCTACAACCAGGAGGAACTGGGTTCCACCAGCCTCCTCAATGGTCGGAATCAGCTTCTCCCCAGAGCCTGCAGTTAGAGGCCAGCCCCAGTGACACCTTGATTTTGGCCTTTGAAACCTGGAGCAGAGACCAGCTGAGCCAATCCAGATGGACCTCTGACCTACGGAACTAGCTGTGGGGCAGCAAACGTGTGTTCTTTAAGCCGCTAAATTTTGTGGTAATTTGTTACAGCAGCAACAGAAAACTAATTCATGACCTAAACAGGGTGACAGGGTCGAGTGACTTGGGGGCCTGGAAAGGCCTCTGAGGGGGGACAAGCGGACTGAGACGTGGATGAGGAGGAGGCAGAGCAGGGGCCCAGTTTGTCCCCATTTCCCAGCATTAGCACGAAAGTCCTGAGACCCAAAAACCCCGTCCGTCCCGGACAAGCCGAATGGTTTTGGTCACTGTAAGGCAGAGGGAACGGCCAGGGCAAAGGCTGAGGTGAGCCGCCACAGCACGCATCCCGAGGGAGGTGCCGCCGCTGGAGCAGGGGACAGGTGCCGGGAACCGGCTCAGCAAGCTCTTCAGAACGGGAGCCATGCCATTCCAGCGGGAGGGTGTGGGCCTGTGGGCGTGGTTGGGTGCGAGCGCTCAGGGCTCCTTCCGCAACCCTCTCCTCCCAGCTGCAGGCCTTCAGAACTACCACCGCCTTCCATGCCCTTCCCCGTGCTACTTGCTTTCTCCCCACGCTGCCTCCCTTCCCCAGTGGGCTCCTGCCAGCGCCCAGGCGTCTCCACACTGCAGGGCACCGGTACCCGCTGCCACTCTCCTGCGGATGTTGCACACGCAGCAGGGGCAATTATTCAAGGCGTCTTTCATTAGTGAGACAATAGGAGGCTGGGGAGGAGGGAAGACAGAGGTTGTGGACGGCTTCCCGCCCTGTCAAAACAGCACCTGTGAACCTGAAGAACGCCTGAGAGGTAGAGGACAAGGGAAAGGCAGAGGAGGGCAGTGGGCCCCTCGCCTCTGCCACCCCCCTCCCCACGGCTGCTCTGCCTTTATGCAAACCCACCCCCTCCCAGTTCAGCTGGTCACCTCCAGAGCCCGAGGCAGGCACGAAGCAGAGGTTTAGGCCCTGAGCAAGGAGCCGGAGTTGTGCAGTGGGAGAGCAAGACGGACCTGAGTTAAAAGTTTGGCTCTTTGTCTCTTTAGCTGTGTGAGGTCTGGCAAGTTAAATTGCTCTGGGTCTCAGTTTTCTCTTCTGTACAATTAGAGTAATAATACCTACTTTGTAGTGTGGTTGTTGTAAAGATTAGAGACGTCAAAAAGGGCCCCACGTGGAGCGGGTCCTGGATAAACGGTAGCTATTTTGATTATGAGCACTGAACCTCCCACCCAAGTCCCAGCCCGCCTACTCCCAAATTTGTCAAATCAGAGAGCGCCCTGGCAGACAGCACCCGGAGCGCTTGTTAACATCGAACCCCTCCCACTCCTCTGTCCCTGATTCTGCAGGCTGAACGAGCTCCCAAGCAGGTGATGCTGATGTAGGCGCTGGGTCCCCACTTGCTGTCCCAGGCCAGTGTCTGCCTCTGGGGAAAGGAGAGCTGGCCCAAGGCTGTGCCGCACCTGCATCCATTTCAGAAGCTGCCTTCACAGGCGCAGAGAGCTGGCTGGGAGGGGGAGCCTTCCCGCCACGCTCTGCCCTCACCTGGGGTCTGCGCCTTGGGCAGCCTCAACAGCTAAGCAAGGTGAGCTGGTCCTCGGCCTCCTGGGATGCTGTACATCCTCAGAAGGTCAGACCAGAGGCAGCTGTATCCACCTCATTGGCTTCCTTGTTTTTCAGTGGGAGACACCGAGGCACAGAGCAGGGGAGTGACTTGTGCAAGTGCAGCTGGAACTCTGGGCTTCTGATGCTGACCTGCAAGATAAAAGCGCTTGGCTATACGGCCGCTAGTCCCTCTCAACTCTGAAGTTCCGTGTTTGGGGGATTATTTACTCCAGGAATTGGCTCCACTGGCCCAGGCTGGGGGACTCTGGAGGAAGCCCAGGCCTGACTGCCTCCTTGACCTCTAATCAACCTCTCTGATTTCCAGGCCAGGAGGCCTGTAAAACCTTTATCGCATCCCCACTCCAGGTCTCATTCACTGTGCGGGCTGCTTTTGGTGGGAGTCTTTTCCTCTTTCCTCCTCTCTCTTCCTCTTTCTACACCTTCATTCAAGCACCGATTCTGTGCCTGCTCCCTGCCAGGCACTGGGGCTAAACGAGACAAACAGGACCCAACCCTGTCCTGGGCAGCTCTCAGCCTGGCAGGGCAGACAGACTGACACACAGACCGACAGGGCCCTGGGGCTGTGAGACATGTCGGATGGGGCGCCGGCGATGCGGGACAGTGGTTAGCGCAGCCCAGTGGCCCTGAGAGTGCCATACCTGTCCTGTTTCCTCTGTACCTCTCCTGCCTCTGGCTCTCTGTATCTGCTGACAAATATACCACAATTCAGGTACAATACAGCATCATTATTGAAAAATGAGAAAACATAGAAAAACACATGGAGAAGATGTAAACAACCACCTTTTCCACCTTTGATGCTAACAACCAACCTTACGGTTCTGGCGCGGGTCCTTCCAGGCTTTTTCCAGGGGTAGTGAATATTCTGTCTCTCTCCCGGGTTCCTGTCATCTCTCCTGTTGTCGGGGGGCACACGCTCAAGTTACTTTTGGAAAAGTGGTAAGTTTCTTGAAAATTTGCATGTTTGAAAATGTCTTTATTTGATCTCCATAATTACTTGATAAATTGGCTGGAAATATAATTTCACATTGAAAACCACTCTCCCTCATGTTTGAAGGCATTTTTCTGCTATCTGTTTGCTTCCAGGGTTCTGCCGAGAAGAATGCTGCTGCCCCAGAGCCTCCCTTTCTTTCGAGATGCCCGCAGAACTGCCACTTCATCCCTGACGTTTTGAAATTTCAAAATGTTGTGTCTTTTTTCATTGCCTGTGCTGGGCACCTAGTGGATGCCTGCAATCTGGAAAGTAATCATTTTCATTTGAGGAAACAGTATATTTTCAATTTCTAAGAACTCATTCTTGTTCTCTGCATTTTTCCTAAAAAACAAAAATCATCCAAATGTCCATTAACTGATAAATGGATAAATAAAACGTGAAATATCCATACAGTGCAATATTACTCAGCCACATACAGGAATGAAGTGCTGACACACGCTACAGCACAGATGACCTTTGAAAGCACTATGCTGAGTGAAAGAAGTCAGACACAAAGGCCACATATCGTGTGATTCCACTTACGAAACGTCTACAACACGCAAATCTACAGAGACGGAAAGTAGATTGGGGCTTGCCAGGGGCTGGGGGGCAGAAAGAATGGGGAGTGACTGCTTAAGGGTGTGAGGTTTCTTCTTGGGATGATGAAAATGTTCCAGAATTAGATGATGGTGACGGTTGTACAACTTTGTGAATATACTAAAACCCACTAAATTGTACACTTTAAAAGGGTGAATTTTATGGTACGTGAATTACATCTTTTTTTTTTTTTTTTTAAAAGGCCCCTTGTTCTTGCTCTGTGGGCATAAAATCTGCTCTTCTCTCTCCAAAGGTATCAGTTGTGGTGGGAGTGGTGGTGGTGTTTGTTTTCTTTTGCTCCCTGCATACTACCTGCTTTCTTCAAATTGTTTCCCATTTTAGCTTATGCTTTTTTATATTGGATGCTTTCCTTAAAAATCGAGTCATCCTCAGCCGCTGATTTATGTTTACGAGACATTTAGAAGCTGACTGGGAGCTCAGTGTACATGGGCAGAGCTTGTTAACTGGTGGGTCCCACCGTGGGAGGTTTCTGTGGAGTCCTCCGAATGTCACCGATTGCCCAGGCACCAGCGCTCTGAGAGCGCACAGGAGGAAGAGGGCCAGGGGCTTCCCCATTTGGCTTGCAAACTTTCAGCAAATCCCCCTTTTTCAGTATATTGCCTCATTTCCACCCATACTAGTAGGAATGTCCCCAAGCCAGAGCTTCTTGGTCTAGTCCCTCTGGGAACAACGCTCCCTCCTGGAGGCTGCTGTGGTGGGCAGGGACAGTCCCTGCTGGACGGGGTGAGCAGGCGCTCCGGGTCTCACTCCCCTGCTCGGGGGCCTATCCCCCACCCTTCCTCAGAGTCACCCAGTTCTGAGCCCTCTGTGGTCCTGGGGCAGGGGTCTGCCCATTTCTCATTGGCTCCTCCACTGGGGCCTCCAGGTTTTTCTTTTTGTAACGAGCCAAGTCAGCCGGCTTCTCAACTTCCAAAATTGCACTGACATCACTGATTTGCTTTGGTCCCCGCCCTCATCCTTGTGGGCTTGCGCCTTGTCACTCCTCTGCCCCGTGTTAGTGTGGTGGTCAGAGACCATGGAGGTGTTGTCCACCACGTTTAATCCAAGTCCCTCTCTGCTCCCTGTGGTATGGAAAGCAGCAGACACTTGGCATTCTCAGGTTTATCATAAAGTGGTCTCTACTTTAACAGCCCGCCCTGGGCCAACATGAAATAGTGTCCAGAGCTGACCCGCAAGTGCTGTGAGACAGGCCCCAGGAGACCTCCCGGCAGCTCAGAGTTAGGTGACTTTGCCCTCGCTGGCCATCCCCCTCATGTTTCTCAGTCATACCTTCCTGCATTTTATGGGGGAAAATTACACGGTAGTCTCTCATCCTGGATTCGTGAAGGGCGATGACGTAACCCTGGAGAACATCGAGGGTCTAGTGTACTCCTGTCACCATGGAAACTAGCTCCCTGGTGACAGCCTTGGCGACACCCACCATGGTGCCATGCACATGGATTCTGGCTCTGGTAATGGGCAAGAGCAGGCTCTGGTGAGAGGGACACTCACCCAAGTGCCATATCTTTCAGGACCTCTCCTGGGTCTCCTCTCTCCCTGAGCACCTGGCTTGGAGCGCTTCAGCTCAGGACGAGGAGGGAGAGAGTGAGTATGTCCGGCCCACAAGATTTGGAATCATTCACGTGCTCCTGGGACTGCTTTCAAATCCAGCCTCCCAGGACCTCTGCTTCATGGTCACCCAGCAAAGGAGAGTTGGCTTGGAGCTTTCAGCGGTCAACAGTTCACAACCAATTTTCAGTGTGGGAGAGTGTGTGTGTGTGTGTGTGAGTGTGAGTGTGTGTGAGAGTGTGCGAGTGTGTGTGAGTGTGTGTGTGCGTGTGTGTGTGGTGGGGGAGGAGATGGACAGTTTAGAAGTCACTTGTGTTTGGTTTTTTTTTTTAAAGATCGGCCCTGAGCTAACGTCTGTTGCCAATCTTCTTTCTTCTTCTTCTTCTCTCTAAAGCCCCCCAGTACATAGTTGTATATTCTAGATGTAGGTCCCTCTGGCTCTATGTGGGAGGCCGCCTCAGCATGGCCCGATAAGTGGTGCTAGGTCCACACCCAGGATCCAAACTGGTGAAACTCTGGGCGGCTGAAGCAGAGCGCGCACAAACTTAACCACTCGGCCACCGCGGGGCCGGCCTCTCTTTGGCTTTGAAACGCACTAGGATTTTTCTCCCGCCTATTTACTATGCAGATAGATTAGCACATGTTAAGTGCTTAGAACAGCCTGGCTAATGGTAAGTGTTTTATAAGTGTCTGCTATTGTTATTATAAAAATTGTATTTCGCTCCATAAAAAAACAAATTTGCATTCCCTGCCTTTCTGCAACTCTCTCAACTCAGAAATGCATGAGATAGAGACCCAGGCGTTGAGAACTTCTGGGTCTCGACTCCTCTTTGCACAATGGGGAGTAAACCACTGACCAAGTGTGTTCTGACTGGTTCACTCCATTCACTGGATGGAGCCCGGCCCCTGCCAGCCCCTCTCCTTTACACTTTACCAGGAACCAAGCAGCTGATGTCTGTAAAGCCATTTGTGAGCACGCCCCTTCCAGGCTGTCCTCCTGGCTGTCCTTCCCTGGTCCAGGGCTCAGAGGCAGGCCCCCTCCTCCTCCTCCCAGTTCCTTCCTCCCAGCTCTGCACCTGCTGCTCCAGTAGCTCCCTGGTCTTGAAATGGCAGTGGCTTGCCCGTGGGCCCCCGCTCCTCCTTTCTGGCCGTGTATGCTCATCTCCAGCTCTCCTGTGCGTCCTCACTTCTCCCTTCCAGCTGCTGCTTCTTTTACAGCCGAGTCTCCATCTCTCCTTGCCTATTCTGCTATGGTCATCATCATCTCACTTTCTCTCTTTTCTTCCCCTAGGCTGGGGGACCCTTAAGGGCAGGTCCTGTCTGTCTTTATAACCTGAACGCTGAGCACAGGGCCTGGCACATAGTAGATGCTTGAAATATATTTTTTTCTTTTGCAATGATGAAATCTCCTCTCTCTGTCGCCTGGTTTCTGTACCTGCTCTGTGTCCCCTGCCTGTCCCCTCTTCCCCCGACTCCACACACAGGCACCCTCGCTAGCTCCCCTCAAAGCCTCGTGAGCTGCTCCTCTGGCTGGCTGCGAAGGAGACAGGGTTGCCCATTGACGGAAAAGCCTCTCTGGCCTCAGTCGAGGGAAGGCCTAACTAGGCCGTGTGGCTGCGCACGGCAGGACTGACGCCTGCTGACGAGGAGCAGGCTTGTTCTGTGCAGTTTCCATCTCATTTGTCTTTTCATTTGTAGTTTAAATTGGCCGATTTCATCTGGAATGTGCCTGGCCTCTGGCAATCCACACACAACAAATGAGTGTCCCCAGGAGCTGTGACAGGGAGACTGGCAGGGGAATGGGCCCAGTCCTCCACGCAGCACAGCGACGGGTCCTGAGCCTCCAGACACTAATGCTTGAAGGACGCCGTTCCGCAAGGCCTGGCCGGGGAGGACTCGAGGAAACCGCAGTGAGAGTGGCTTCAGGTCAGGCCCTGGAAACGCTGCTTCCTTTCTTTCCCTTTTCGTTTGTCCCTATCTGTCTACCCGCCAACCTGTCCTGAGGGAGAGAGTAACGTGAGGGAAGGGAAGGGAAGGGAAGTCGTTTGGGCTTTTAAGAGTAGGCAGCACTGCCACAACGTTGAGTGAAGGAAGCCAAACACTCGACCATACGAAACACAAACACAGGCAGAACTCATCGGGGTTCTAGGCCTCTGCGGATGGCCACCTCTTCAGGGGCTGCTGAGTGCACGCCTGTGCGGGAGCTGCAGCCGGGCTGTGGTGACGTGGGGCTACCGTACACCCCATGGACAAATTCATCAAGTGTACACTTACGATTCGTGTGCCTCGTTGTTTGAGTTCTACCTCAACAAAAACGAGAAAAGAAGTCACACCAATGGTTTTCAAACTTCACTGTGCATAAGAATCACATGGGAGCTTATTTAAAATGCAGATTTCTGGACACCCTGGAATCTATTTAGTTGGTCTGGAGCGCTGTCTGGGAATCTGCATGAACATCCCCCTCCTCCCCAACGGTGATTTTGAGACCAGACCAGACCACATAGGGGCTGGCACATCTGACCAGTCAAAAGGCCTAAGTGCCATCCTGCTGGGAGCCTGGTGGGGCAGCTGGGTGGGTAAGGGCTCCCAGGCACCCTTGGCAGCGAGGGTCAGAGGCTGGCCAGGCTGCAGCACAGAGGAAGCGCTGTCAGGCAGCAGGAGCAGCAGTGGGCCGTGAGCGGGCAGCTCTCTGGGCTAAGGAGGATCAGGACAGGGAGGAGGCCCTCCTCAGGGAGAAGCACTCTCTGAGCCGTCTCCAGCACTCCTGTCCCCTGGACATGCTGCCCTGGGATGGCTGGGCAAACAGGAAAGCCAGCACGGGGAAAGCTGGTCCCTAGCAGAGGCGGAGGGCCACCAAACGGCCTGACGACTCCACAGGGACTGGGGACTGGGTTGACCAGTCGTGCACTCCTCAGCAAGCACCTACTGTAGACGAGAAGAAGGAACCCAAGATGGAAGACACGTGGCTGAGGAGGATGTAGACAATGTGGCATTTCCAAAGAGAAATGCCAGGACAGGCTGAATGTCTGAAAGTGTGTGCAAATTACATCTTCCGAGCTGCCCTTGACTTGAAGGCCTGGGAGGGCGGAGACAAGGGAGGGGGAGCTAGATTTGGGGCGTGGGGAAGGGATCAACATTTGGGGAGCCTCTCCCGTCTTCCAGACCCTTTATAGACACCGTGTCATCTGATCCTCACAATAATCCTCTGACATGGCTTACTTGTGTCCACTTTACAGATGATGGAACCACAACTAAGAGATGTTCACCAACTTGTCCAAGGCCACAGGCACACAAACAGCTGGAATTTGAACTCACACCTGGATGCCTCTAGCCTCACGATCTCCTCACAGTCCCTGCCACCTCTCCCCTCAACCTCTAACAGTGATCGAACATTTAAGAATTTGTAAAATACTTTCTCACACGTTATTTCATTTGATTTCACCAACACTTCGTGTAAGGTGTAAGTCCCATTTTATGGATGAAAAGTTGACCATCAGGTAAAGAACAACCTTCCCAAGGGCAAACAGGTGACAGGTAGCTGGGAACTGAGCCTTAAATTCAGATGTCTTTAAATCTGCCACAATCCCTTGTCTGGACACTGAGAAACAGTTCAGCTCTGTCCTAAGCCTGGGGAGGCCACTGCTCAGAGCACAGCTTGGTTTCATGCTGACTGGAAACTCCTTTTACTAAATCTCCTTAGGGTCTGAGATGGAAAATGGCCTCCGCAGGGGAATGGAGGCCCAGAAAGCCTTGGTGAATAGCTCAAGATTATACAGGACACTGAGGCCAGAGCTGAGACTGGAACTCATGTTTTCTCAAATGGGTCATTTCCAGAGGCATGTGGGATATTCCTTCAACCTCATGTTCTTTGCTGCAGCAGCCCTCTCCCTCCTTCAGCTGGACCGTGGACTGCTGCCAAAGGTGCAAAGGAAGCAGAAGCCATTCTGGGTGAGGGGAGGGGGGGCAGAGCAGCAGCCCCCGGAAGCCTTCATAGTCCTTTAGCAAAGAGGTGCTCGAGGCATCCGCTCACGGGCCTGGGGCACGTCAGCATGTGCAGGCAGTGACAGGGATATGTCACGCTGGACCACTGCCCTGACACAGCCCATCTGCACAGGCATTCTCCCTGTTAACCTGGCCATTAGGAGGTCAACACATAACATGCGAGGAATACGTTGATAAGGAAGCTGTGTTCTGGGTTGACCTGCCAGTATCTGGACTGCTCTGACGTGCCAAGTTTTCAAAGACTGGCAGCCACCATGGACCCTCCATTCTGCTTGTGTGTACACTTGGGGATTATAGTCATGCGCCTCATAATGACGTTTCAGTCAATGACAGACCACGTATGTGACGGTGGTCCCATAAGATTAGTACGATAGAGCCTAGGGTGTAGTAGGCTATGCCATCTAGGTTTGTGTAAGCACACTCTGATGTTCGCACAGTGATGGAAGTGCCTAATGACACATTTCTCAGGACGTACCCCTGTCATTAAGTGATGCATGACTAGATTCACCTGGTGGCTTCTCTCCAGCAAACACTCCTTGCCCATTCTGGTTTCTCCTCACTGTCTACTGTACCCTGGGAAATGCAGCCAGTGTTCCCCAAGTCAGACCTAATTAGGCCAGCCAATCGGCAGCATTCAAGTCAGCATTGCACATGCCAAGCATGAGAGGAAATGCTGTTTGGATTATCCCTCGAGCTGCATGTTGCGTCTGTTTGCATTTCCTTGGATTATCCATTCTCGGCTTCCCACCTTCCATCCCCTCCCTAATGGAGAGGCAGGACCAGTCCTCCTCAGGCTGGTATTCATCTTCCCAGTCTGACCCTCTTGTAGGCTATTAAGCTGCTGTTGCAAGATCGAGGAGGCGAGAAAAATGAAAACAGTGCACAGAGGGCAGCAGAGGGCAAATGGGGCTCTTTTAGAGCTGGACCCACTGACAGGTCAGGCCAAGGAGAAGTGGCCTCAAGCTCTGAAAAGTGGAGAGCTCCCCAGGAGGCAGGGCCAAGCAGGCAGACCTCCTTGCTGGGCTGTTCATGGGAGGAGGTCAGGTTGGGGGTGGGGTGGGGGGGCGCGGTGTCTGCAGAAGACTGGGCTGCTTTGGAGCCGGGCAAAGGTTACTGAGGTCATTGCTGCCCCTGGCTCAACTTAAGAATTAGCAATTCTCCCCACCCCGTGCCTGTTCCTCTCCTCACAAGGCGCTGCAGGAAGAAACTACGGAAGCCAGCAGACCAGCCTATTAGAGCCCCGGGATTCCAGCTCGTGCCTCCCTGCCCAGGCCTTTTACTCCTTGCTCACTGCTGCCAGCACACTCCGCAGAGCCGTCTCTAGATCTGCCGCTCACTGTGCTCGCTTCTGCGCCCTGACCTCTGGACAGACGACCTTGCCGACCTCGGGGGACCGAAGGGATGGGCAGGCGAGACTTCCGTTGCCCTCCCTCACTGTGCTCCGCCCCACACCTCTGCCAGCTACCCCTTCTCTCTGCCTTCCCTCTGACTTAAGGACAGAGGTTTCCTCCTTTTACAATCAACCTCATCATCCCTTCCCACCTCCTCAGGAAACTCAGTCCTTTACTTACCACTCTCCACTTTTGAAAACAACAACAATGCCCCCTTTGTCTGTTACTCCCTCTAAACACAGACCCTTCTTGCTTATACGCCCCTGAGTTGCATTTCAATCCCACAGCTCTTCTGGATCCAGCAGCATTTTCTCAGCATTCAGCCTGGAGGAGCTTGACAGAATCATCCAGCGTGGCTGAAAACCCTTCCTTCTTGGAAGGCTCTCCCTGTGGTCTGCGGGTCCCTGTGCTCACCCTCCCTCTGGGATCAGCTTCTCCTGCAGGCTCATCCCCACCCCCTAGGCAGCCTCTCCTTACGCCCTCATGCAGTCTCTTGGCACACTGCCAGCTCTATCCCAGTGACCATCTCGTGCTGTCATATTTTCTTCCCGTTCAATTCCCTTGAATGACAAACTTCCACTTGAGTCCTTAGGACACTGTCCTAAATCAGAGCATCACACCCTCTCCCCCAGTACTGGCCCTAAGGAGCTCATTCTCCCAACAGTCCATCTGTCTCCTTAACTATCGCTCCATCCCTTAGAGAGGACTCTTCAACTTTTCCTTTGAGGTGCCCTGACAGCAGAGTGACATGCATTCCTGGGAGCATAATCCCAATCACCTGCCAAAGGTCAAAATTAACTTTGACGTCTTGTTTTTTTTTTTCCAAAGATTTTATTTTTTTCCTTTTTCTCCCTAAAGCCCCCCGGTACATAGTTGTATATTCTTCGTTGTGGGTCCTTCTAGTTGTGGCATGTGGGATGCTGCCTCAGCGTGGTCTGACGAGCAGTGCCATGTCCGTGCCCAGGATTCGAACCAACGAAACACTGGGCCGCCTGCAGCGGAGCACGTGAACTTAACCACTCAGCCACAGGGCCAGCCCCTTGACATCTTATTTTGAACCTTTTTGTGAGCTTCATACTAGATCCCTATTTGCTTTCTTCTAACGTTTCCTTCCGAGTCTCTGAGTCCATGTGGTCCCATTGCTGGGTTCCTAGGCCTAGTCTTCAACATCCAGCGTGAGTCTCACCTCCTCCAGGACGCCTTCTCCAATTAGTGTGGTCTCTTTTTTCCACCAACTACCACTAGCTTTAGGGCCTGTAACATTGAGTTTGGCCTTTGATTATCTGTAGTTGCTTAAGGTGGGCCAACACCATTAGCAGCTCCTCGGGGACAGGGCCCCGTCTCACCCTTTCATCCGACCCTGTGACGAGGTGTTACCTTACCAAGGTAAGGCCTTGATTGGACCAAAACCACAAGTTCCCTGTGAGGCCACGGGGCACATTTCCAAACACTCTCTGTGGAAGTCCCACCCTGGAGACTCCACTTAACTCCAATGCGTCCCTATAGGCTGGGGTCAGCTCACTCCTGCCTCACCTCCCAAGCAGAGGGATCGAAGAGGCATTCAAGCAAGCCCGTCTCCTGGGCACTGTGCCCAGGATGGAGACTAGTCCGACCTGTGGTCCCTTTCCAATCACTTAATCACATTTGGCTCTCCACACCTGAGGGTGAGGACGTCCACCAGATCCACAAATTCTCCTTAATTAACTCTCCTGAGGCTCCTGCCGAGTGGCGGTAACTCGGCTTCTCTTCCACAAGCAAAACACCTGAGCGGACTCTGCAGCTTCGGGTGGGACTTTCAGGACCCAACCCACCGTTTCTGCAGGCTGCACCAGCACAGTGTGACCCAGGAGCAGTCGGGAGGTAGTGGCGACAAGAAGCAGGAGCTGGAAGGATTTCTCTGCATTGTGTTAAAATGAGCAGCCTGCAAATCAGATGCAAACACCATGCAAACAGGCATATATGGATTTGGAACCAATAGCTTTTTGGGCAATAAAATGCCAGCCCTGTATGTGATCATATTTACTGCCCAAATTTTCCTTTTCTGAGAATTCCAAGCAAAGCTGAAAGTAGATACTGAGAGGGACACACTCCTCTCCCGTGGATATCCAGGCACAGGGGTAAGTTAGATGTTGCTGCTACCTACGTACACAAAGATGCTACTGGACCCGCGTCTTCACTGGCATATTTATTGGGCCCTGACTTGGTGAAACACCGTGCAGGTGCTAAGAGCACAAAGTACCCTCACTCAGTTGAGCTCGGTACAATAAACAGCCACGAGGTGCCTATTACTAAATGTTTATTAAGTACCACTTACGAGCTGTGTCCGCTTCCTCACGCGTAAAATGGGGTAGTGGGTGCAGACCCCATCACAGGGCTCCACTCAGCAACAAGGAGCAGACTATTGACACAGGCGACAACTGGGCGAACCTCGAGGGGATCACGCTGATGAAAACAAGCCAACAGCAAAAGATTATAGCCTGTCTGATTCCATTTATATAACATTTGTGAAATAACATAACCACAGACGGAGGACAGGCGAGTGGCTGCCAGGGGTCAGGGATGGGGCTTGGGGCCATAAAGGTTAGCACAAGGGGGCCTTGTGATGGCACAGTTAAGCGTCTTGTGGTGGTGGTGGTTACACAAAGCTACACACGCGCGGGCACACACACACATGAACGTCTGTGTAACTGGTGAAACCTGGAGAAGCTCTCTGAGTTATAGCAATGTCAGTTTCCTGGTTTTGATATTGCACTGTTGTTACGTAAGATGTTAATATCAGGGGAGGCTGGATGAAGGACACTCAAGACTTTCCTGTACAGTTCTTTGCACTTCCAATGAATCTAAACTTACTTTAAAATAAAAAAGTTAAAAAAAGTGGGGTATAGAACCCATAGCAAAAGGTTATTTTTAGGGTCCGCTGAGTTACTATAAAGCAGCTGGCACACAGCGAGTCTTCATCACATGTTACTGTTGCTACTACTACATGCCAGGTACTGGGAGCACCAACGGGAATAAGGCGC